TGTTTCTGACTTGCAACAGGTCAGTCAATTTTATAAGGATAACAATGATTTACACCAGCAGAAGAAAATTGATGCTGTATATATTTCAGGGGGAAAAAAACCCAAAAACATGTATAGGGAAGACACACAATTAATTTTTCCTGAATGTGGACACATACACACAGAAAAATCTTCCAGATGCAACTACCTGAAATAGTCACCAGCATATAGTGACAAAACAAATTTAAACAATTAACAATTGGAATGGAGTCTGAAATGGAAATTGACCTTTTCAAAAGCTAAAGAGCCTTATTAATCAGTTTAAGAATAATCTGTTTGTCTAAAGAATAATTTATTTCTGTTTAAGCCTTTTTTGAACATTTCTTTATATTACTTTTCACAATATGAAGGGTATAAAATAGATGTCTAACCAGAAGCATCATAATGTGTCACAGACACAGCAATTTAGAAATTGAGAGGACCATCTGGATAAGATCGAAGAGTGCTGGCTTCCAGATCAGATGTAAGCAAGCAGTGAGTTCTAGTCATATAATATCTAATGTTTTCTCTTGCCTTCTGTATTTAGAAAATAATACTGAAATATCAGAAATAATTCTTCAGAAAGAGAAATGTCATGCAGAGTGTTGGCTGTGTGTTCACTGATACAATGATGTCACTGCTGGGTGGATCACTCTTGGCAGGCAGTATTTACTTTGATCTTCACAATAAATAGAGCATTCAAAGCTTCTGGTATACTATATTCACTTATCTGGTTTCTCCTTCTAGTTTATGGGCTTTTCTTCAAGCACAAGAAGCTTGGTATGCCTTTCAATATAATCAGAAATCTATGTTAAAATGGACCACAGGTCAGAGTTCTATAGCAAGAAAATGAGGAAAAACATGGCATACCAGAAGATCTGTTCTATTTCTGTGGCTTTCCAAAATACTTGTCCAACAATGACAACAAATATATCAACCAGACCATTTTCTTTTGATGCAGAATACTATGGCTCCATATCTCTTTCTGTAGCAAAGAAACCAAGAAGTGGGCCAAACTGGACCAAATGCTGCAGATACAGATCCAGTTACAAGCATGACACATCCTGACAGTGTTGGGGTGAGATATGGAAATGCAACAACCTCTTTTGCTTGATGGTTTCTGTGCAAAAGAAATGCAAGTGCTCAGGCAGAAACCACAGCATTCTCTGAGTTACCTGGTGATGTAGCTGAAGAGCAAGCCATAGGCAATCTTTGTGATTTTAATTCTTATATAAGAATTCATTTGTGCTTTGGTGCTTTCCCCCCAAAGCTGTTTCCACACAAAGTGATGCTTATGCTCTCAGTCCTTTTACTTTCAGCATGATTCAGCTGAGCAGGATACACCAGATTTAATCTACAGTCATGTCACCATAAACATAAACTCAGTCAAATTATTTTACTTAATTCTTGCATCAGCATCAGTAACACACACTCCCTACAGGTATAGCTGCTGTGCTGACCAACAGAATGTTATCTGTGTGTGAAAAAGCTATAATCTGGTTACGAAGCAAAGAAAGAGTTTTTACGTGACCTTCATGATGATAGCATGTCTGTCTAGAGAATGATTTGATACCAAAAATATCCTGATAAATTCTAGATCCTTGATTAAGATCAAGGTCCAATAACCTTCAGATGGACTAAGATTTCTGCTGGTGAAATATAGGTGAGTGCTGGGAAAAGTTGGGAAATGGAGAATCAGAGCTGAGTATTTTAAGGGAAAAACAAAGTAAGTTTCAAGCCAGTAACCGCTGGTAAGTCAGTCTCAGAAATATAATTACCACATGTCCAAGTAACACAGATGTCTACAAACTGAACTGCAAAGACAGAAGAGGAAGAGGGAAGCATGATGTTTTGCTGGGTAAAGATATACCTTTTTTTCTTATCCCATATAAAATGTTTTTTATAAAAGAACAAACTAGGTTTTTTCTCCTTGGTTTTCCAAGGCTGATGTAGCCAGTTTTCCAGGGTTTCTGGTAAGTCACAGGCTTGTAACCCTCTGACTGAGTAAACTGATTAGATCCAAGGAGCTAAAAACTGATACTTGTCTCAAAAAAAATGAGATGGTGAAGCATAGTCATGAAGTTGTATTATTCAGTGCAAAAGCTCTGACTGAGTTTATCTAAATGTTCTGCAACTGTCATATGAATAGTCGTTCTGTAGCTAATTTATTACTAAATATGTAACTGCAAATTCAAAACCCAAATTCAATTTCTAAATTGAAATAAAGAGGAAATGTAATTTTACATTAAGGAACAAGCTCAATTCAGCTTTGAATGTGGAGTTGCCTTCAATTTATTTATAATTCAGTAAGTGCATATGAACTATTTAAATACCTTTTGATTGCCAACTTGTATATACACACTTTGATTTCAAAGAAAGTCTGGGTTTTCCTATAACAAGAAAGGCAGGAAATAGAGTTTGAATAGTAAACAAGCCTCAGTGGCATCAAAGCATTAACCATTCTCTGTGTCTCTTCAGTTACCACTAATAGGTTGAGCTACTGCAGTCACGGAACAGACCATATAATTATGTGCTTTGGAAGGCCCTTTCCTGTATGTTACCATGTTTAAGACACACTTATGCACACAAACACCAAAAGATGGGTCTCAGAAAATACAGTGTTAGCAATAACACTGCTTTACTATACTTAAAATAAGCAACTGTCCACAAGTTCCAAAATGCAACAAAATCTCTTAAAAAATATGAAGTACATTCAGTGATAATTTGAGAGAGAACAAATAATTTTTAATCTCTGGTATGCTGCCTGTCTGCAGAGGTGTAAAAATGGCCAGATTTCCTAGAGTATAAGACCTGACTTTACAGAAAATCAAACAAGCTGTTCTCATTCCTGTAGTTTTAAAAATTTAGTTAAATCCAAAAATAGATGTATCTTTAATTGGACCTATGTATAACATTGTAGACTGTTGTGTCAGCTATGTAAAAAAGTACCAGTCTAGGTTTAATCTGCATTTTAACATGCTCAGCATACCTAATGCTCTTTTTGCTTAGTTACAAATCAATATTAAGGAAGTAAGAATGGAAGAGTTCAGTTTTATCTTCTTTTAAGGTGTGCTGCTTTTCTTTACAGGTTATTCACAAAATACAAGCGGTCTGGTTCCTGGACATAAGAATGTTACACCTAAACTTGTAGGCATTGTTTTTTGAAAGTAATATTATTATGGTACTTCAGACAAAATGTAATTCTTTTTCCAAGAAGTAAAGTTAATTTATACATCATAGCTATTATGTAGCTGCTTTCAAAATCTTCATCCTAATATTTCAACACAGATTTTTTTTTCTACTAAAACATAGCACTACCATAGAGTAATTCTTTTCTGCAAAATTTATTCCAAGATAGTTTAAATGGAGAAAAAGTGTTTGTCCATTATGCTAGACATTCTTGCATTTGACCATTAGTTAAGCAACCTAATGAATTTATTTTAATTTATCATAAAAGAAAATATGAGAGAAGCAAACAGAACACTCTGGTTATGTTACTTTCTTTTATGGTAATGCAGACAACATTGACAATTTCCAAAAAGACAGTTGTGCCTTTTGGAAAAGACATAATTCCTTTAACTGTTAAAAAAATTCATAATCAGACCAGGCTGAGTAACTCAGTAAAGTTCGAAAGGAAATGGTCTAGGTGTATACTCAGAAATATCAAGAGATCCAATTATTCCCTGGCAAGGAAAGTTTGTTCTTACCTCTGGGATATGCCAAAGCGAACATCTCTGGAAGAACTCAGGTGAGGTAGGGTAAACAAGTAGACTCTGAACAACTCTGTTTGGAGTTGTTCAATTAGGTATTTCATGCTTAACTTTTAATGGACAGTGATATTACTGGTATGTGCTTGCAGATTGAGGGAGAATTTCAAGATCCTTTCAAATTTTGTGGAAACGCCTAGCTTGATTGCAGAATCACAGAATCATATAGGTTGGAAAAGACCTTGAAGATCATCTAGTCCAACCATTAACCTAACACTGACTGTTCTCAACTACACCATATCCCTCAGCGCTATATTAACCAGACTCTTAAACACCTCCAGGGATGGGGACTCCACGACGTCCCTGGGCAGCCCATTCCAACGCCTAACAACCCGTTCTGTAAAGAAATGCTTCCTAATATCCAGTCTAAACCTTCCCTGGTGCAATTTGAGGCCATAACCTCTTGTCTTATTGCCTGTTACTTGGTTAAAGAGGCTCATCCCCAGCTCTCGGCAACCTCCCCTCAGCCTCCTTTTCTCCAGCCGCTCCCCGTACGACCTGTGCTCCAGACCCTGCACCAGCTCCGTTGCCCTTCTCTGGACACGCTCAAGTCATTCAATGTCCTTTTTGTAGTGAGGGGCCCAAAACTGAACACAGGAATCGAGGGGCGGCCTCACCAGTGCCGAGGACAGGGATAAGATCCCTTCCCAGTCCCTGCTGGCCACACTATTGCTGACACAAGCCAGGATGCCATTGGCCTTCTTGGCCCCCTGGGCACACTGCTGGCTCCTGTTCAGCCGGCTGTCAATCAGTCCCCCCAGGTCCCTCTCTGACTGGCAGCTCTCCAGCCACTCCTCCCCAAGCCTGTAGCTCTGCTGGGGGTTGTTGTGGCTGAAGTGCAGAACCCGGCATTGGCTTTACTGAAACTCATACAGATTAATTGTTACTTCATCATTAGTTGTTAGTCCCTAAAAAGTAAGAATTCAAATATTCTTATCATTCCAGCATCAATAATTACTTTTTAATTGTCTTTCTTTGCACAACATGCTCAGTATCATACTTCTGGTGAATGATCTTTTGATGCTGCTTCCTATTAGATGACACATATCCCTTCAACAAGTCTAATTATACAAAATGGCATTTTGAGGGCCTCAGGCTCACCCAAAGATGCGGATTAGATAGTTTAGACTAAACAGTTGACCATTCCTTTGAGCTACTAACTTCTGCCAATCTTTTTGTGCCTGAAATTTATTTTTTCTTGTGTTTACCCTACAGGGCTCTATGAAAACTATCCAACCAATGCAGAACCAGAATGCTGTGATGTCAGATGGGGACTACTATCAGATCATCAATCCAAAGGGACTATAAAAACAAGTGGCTCAACAATGTGTCACAGGACATCGCTCACAGTTTCATCAGCATCAAGACTGTGTAACAGCAGACTTAAACTGTGTATTCTTGTATTAATTCTCTTACATACAGTACTTACAGTCTCAGCAGCACAGAACTCAACAGGACTGGGCTTTGGAGGCATAACAACTTTGGAAGATAATTCAACCAATGAGGAATAAAAGAAAGGATTCATCTTATGTGATAGAAACACAACAGGCCCAAATGACTACAGTCAAAAATGGCAAGGACTGAGTGCTTTACCCTCAGATCTCTTGAATGACCTTTTGGGTAAAATGAAAAGAATGGGCCACTACCCAAACAAGGACACATGAACACGGCTTTTTATTGACTAAAAGGCTGTATGGTGACTTAAATTTCTCACACCATTTTATACACTGTGTTTTAATGTTTGGAGTTTCTTTTCTGTTTGTTTTTTGCACTTGTTAATACAGGATTTTATTTTTGGGACGGTTTCTCAAAGCTAAATTAAGTCTTTTCTCTGTCGATATATTTCTAGTCATTGTGTGTGTTCATCTGATAGTTCTGTCTTTTATGTCCTGTCAGTTTCTATTAGAGGAATGACTGCTATGAATCCATGACATAGCAAAAAATTTAAAAAAAACCACAAAAATCAAAAAAACAACAAAAAACCACAAAAATGACAAAACAAAATTTACAAAAAAAAAAAAAAAAAGAAAAAAAAAAAGAGCAACCACAAAAAAACCCAAACAAACCTAACTGTCCTCTTACCCATGGGAACCATTCATCTCCTTTCCCTTTCCCATCTCCCGTAGCAGACAACATACATTCGCTTCTGTCTGTGTAATCACAATGAATGGGTACACAATTCCAGTGTGCCTCTGCCACTGTTGCACAAGCCAGTTGACTGAGCAAACCCAAAAGGAGCATGAAGGGGGTTCCTTTTAGCTGAACAAACAAGTGCTCTCCTTACAAGGTGGGATCGGACAGTTAAAAAATGTAAAAAATATATAACAAACTGTTGCTCCAATACCCGTTTTGAAGAAGTCCAGTCCTTTCTCACTGGTCAGTTGAACAGGAGCAGCCTTTTTTAGATATGCTATGTAAACCAGTTATGCTCAGCAAGTTGAGTAGTTGGGAAGCCTTCATATTGGAGGTGAAGGATTGGCATTCATTGTGAATTACCTTTTGAGTTCTCCTGCTGTCACATAACCAGCAGCTTTCCATAAGGAATGGGAGCAAAGAGCTTCCAAAATCCGTCTTTTTGTCTCAACAAAATTACACTAGAAGCCTTTGAGCATCTACAATACAAAATATCTCTTTGGGTTTGATTTCATTGTTTTTCTAATATCTACGTGTTGTTGAAAGTTACTCTAGTTAATAAGGGTGCACAAGAATGTGTTAGCACAGATAAAGAAACTATTTTTTTTTAAATATATAGGACAACCGTTTTCATAAATGTGCAATAAAACCAGTAAAGATATACTAGGATATGATTAGTCAAGAGAAAAGATTGTAATATGATTGCTTATTTTTCATTGTTTGGGTGGTTTTTAATTTGTTTACTTTTATTTTTGTGGGAACATTTCACCTGCTGAGTGTATGAGAATTTGCTTTTTAAAAAGGCTTTTTAGAGTTTACAGTAGAATCAATGGAAGGAAAAGTTATTAAGGGCTGTTTTTAAAAACTTTACATTCCTTCCTATTCTCTAACTACACTTGGGAAGTGCACTTTAGAGATGTTTGCTGTGTAGCTGGGAGATGAAGGAAAACTATAGGAAATGTTCTCTTAGGAAATAAAATATAGTTACCTACTTTCTAGCTATGAAATACCCCTTGGTAAATATTAATGTTGTAAGAACATTTAATCACTGGTGCATAATGCATTTTTGTATACACTTTATGGTCTGTTAAATTCTGGAGAAAAACAAAAAGAAGATAACCATGCTGCTTATGCGGTTCAAGATGCACATGTTAAGCTGCGAAAGCTCAAATATTTTGCAAGAGTATTTGTTTTGATAGTGTTTTACTACAACCTGGACTGAGGAGCCTAAAATGATCTGTGCAAATATGACAACAACAAAAAGCACCAGCTAATGAAAAATTCTTCAGCACTGGTTTGTTTCTATAATTCCTCCCTTCCCTTCCTTGCATATGCTATATTTTGTTCAATAAAACATGGTGCTTTTTAGTTATTTTATTTTCTGTTAGAGGCACATGTATTAATCACATTGAATTGATGCAAAAAGGGGAAAAAAGTAGAAATGCAAATGAAAAAGCCTTAACTAATGATAGAATGTAGACTTTTAAAGGGACAGAGATGTTATTGAAAAGTGATGGAGCAATAACTGGGCAGTGCTCTGGTACTGTAAAACAGCTGATGAGTCACACTATTGAGAAAGCTCTTACTAGGTGAGCTCTTGTTCAACTGACCTCTTAATTCTAGTAAGTGTACATGGTCAGTAAACAGTTTGTTATAACCTTTATCTACCTCTGCTGTGCAAAGGCCATCCAACATCCATTTCTGTGATGTTCCTCATGTTTTTTTGTTCACACCATTACTCACTGTCATCTATTTTTACACTGTACCAATACAGTAACAAGTCTGGTTCATCCCAGTTGAATTGGCACCTGAAGAAGAGTTATTATTTCTGTTTTGCCTCATGGTGAATTAATGTAGAGAGCGATCTTTAAGGCATTTTTCTTCTCTCCTGCTCTTCTTCATCCTTCATCCCTTATTTTTCTATAAAAATATTTTCAAGTGGTGTCCGTGAAAAATATGACTCCTCCACTGCTTGGCTACACTCAGTTGCATGTCATACAATATGAGAGAGACATAAGGAAAAACAGTGACAACATCATCACATGCATAGAGTAGCCAAAGTAAACTTGGGCAAAATGAAGCAGAAAACAATTACAGACTTTCAATTATTACACAAGATGTAATAAATTCCTCCCACTCTCCATACCTGGAGTTAGTGCCTGCAGTTCAATGGTCTGTAAATTTTCTATGTCATCTTTTTGAGGTTTATTTCTTTAATTTTTGAAAAAAAGAGTCATATTGCAGAGGTGACTACTGCTGGGGTATCTGTTGCCATTTTCACTCCAGCAGTGTGGTATGTAGCTTCTCTTGGTGGCACATGGGACATCAGGAGTAGACAAAGACTCTTCTATGAAGTTAAGCAACACGTAATCATGTATGATGCAAAATTCCATTCCATCCATTCCTCATTCGTAATAGTTTTCCTGGCACAAACTTAAGCATGCTTGATATTGTGCACATATTACTTTTCTGCCAGAATAAATTTGCATCTTGCCACTGCTATAACTGCCATCTTGTTCCATTTCTCCTTGTACTGTATGCGTAATACATACATGATAAAGAGCTGGCTTAACAAAGAAGTAATACAAAAATATTTCTGCAAATGACTGATGAGAAGAAAAAGAAAAAAATGAATAATATTTATTTTATGATCATATGGAAGAAAGAAATTTCCCATGTCGTTTATCGTCTTATTTTCTGCAATAGGGAAAATCCAGATTTTGTGCAATATGTTAATACTGCTAAGCCAAATGTCATATAACATAATCAGAGCTATATGTTATTCCTTATTGCATTTGCATTTGGTAATACATTATATTGACGCTTTTCTTTCATTAAAGAGACTATCTTTTTTTTTGAAAATATGGCAGGTGAAGGCTGTCCTTCTGCACACCATAATTTAAAGACAAAAACCAACAAAACATTAGAATGAAGTTTGAGTTCTATAAATGATGAAACCAAGCCATCAGCTGCCAAAGAATCTGCAGAACAATAGATAAAAAACAAACATACACTTCCAAGTAATTCCTTCTTGAGTATTAAAAATAATGTTATTCTAAAAGATTAAAGAAGAAAGAGTGAGAGCTCTATTTCAGACAGCAGACATGGCAGGTTTCATCCGGTATGAGATGTGGCTCTTAGCTTACATAGTTATATTCTTCTATTAAAAAGTGAGGGACAAGGGCACTGTCTTCTTCTCTCTTTGTTTTTGTTATGATAATGAATGTCTTTGTTGTAAGCATTGCCTCTCTGCACAGAAGATACCTGCTTATCATGAGAGCTGAAGACAGCACAAATTTACACAGTGAAACCTGTCTTAAGCGACTATCCAAAGCACAAACAAAACTTGTTTGTGGAGTAGAGAGAGGTAGCTTTAAGTGAAAGTGAAACAAATTTATTAAGTGAAACAAACTTGTCTTATGAAATTTCTAGTTACATGTAAACAATGACCTAAGCAAAGGTTCTATGAATGTGCTGGTCCTTACGGCAGCTTTCACTGTATATGTCATCTGTGCCACAGCCCCATGATGAGCCCTGCACAGACAGGCTTCAAGCTGGACTCAGAGTCATGCTGACATCAATGGGCCTTGATACAGGCATGCATGGCATGCAGGTACAGGCATGCACCCACAAAAAATTCACTGTAGCGCATAGGTCTCAATTTGTTGTCCTATAGTCTTTACTCAGGAATTGCTCGTGGCCATAGTGCATCAACAGAGGATCACTGGGTTCAGCCCCAGCCAATTGAGTTTTAACAAGAGACTGGCAATGGCATATTTAATGGTGAATGGTTCTGGTTTATTATTATTATTATTGTCTACTATTATATTAGTGTGGTAAAGGAGTTGTTTCAAAATTTAGCTAGGAAAACAGAGGACAACTAACTTGTCATTTCAGAGGTGAAATTAAATAGACTTTCTGAGGTAAAAAGAGGCTCTGTCATCTGTCAGCAGCTGTCAGGAAACAGCAGTCTGTTAGAAAATCTTGGGAAAATAGTATGTTCAGTCTGAATGTGATAGTTCTCATTAAAACTAGATTTTTGGATGGCAAATAGAACTGGAGTGCATACCATCTTAATTGATGGATTTAATTTGCCAACATGTTCTGCAATAGCTCTGAGCAATCACATTTACTGAACACCTCTAAGTTTCCCAGTACTTTCCAGCATTTTTTCAAGTGCTAACAAGCTTGATCTGGCCCTGGAGGGGTAAGAAGGGAGAGAGAACTACTGTGAGTGATGAAATTTAAAAAAATTAAAATAGAGCTGGGCCAACTTGGAAAAATCCATCTGAGAACCAAGCTATACTTCTTTAAAATATCACAGAGATGAAAAAAAAAAAAAAAAAGTCATATGTAGTTGTTAATCTATATAGAAATAGTTTTATTTTAAAAGAGAGATACACAAATCTATGTTCTCCACAGTTATTACAAATACAGCATATTGTAGAGTAAAAATGCCAAAGGATAAGACCTATAAAATAAGCAGGGCAAAATTACTGCTTTTATATTCCTTATTATGGAGTGTGAATTTACAGGTAGAACTTCAGCAGCAGAAATATATTTTTTAATAAGAAAAGTAAAAAACTTGGGGGGAATGGGCATATTTTGTTATTCATTTCACCATCCTGCCTCCTAGAATCTTAGCAGTTATTCCGAAATCTTCACGCAAACCCTTGACTTCTGCAGAAAGTTCCCAGCACAGACCCCATCCCAGCAGTTCCAGCAGGTGACAGTGGCACAGGTCTCAGTCGTGGATCCTAAGGGAGACCCTCCGTTCAAAGTGCTGACTGCACTTCAGCACTTCAGTCCAATCTCCACTCTCTCATTCTCCTAACACTACATTCAGCTCTTTTAGACATATGCAAAATGACTCGGTTTACTTTTCAGAGGGGACTGTGCTTGCTCTGCTCAGTAGCCTCAGTCCCCATTACAAAGGTCAGAGGAACCACTAGTGTGCTTTGAATGCAATATGTGCATTGAACTCCCCAAACAACTGAAATAGGATTAAAATTATAGACATGCTTTGTAACCAGCCTTCTGAGTAAAGTGAGTGAAGAATTTACCAGCTGTGTATGTCTTCAAATACTTTTGCTGTTCTCACAATAAGGACTATCTCAGCAGAAAGGACAAGAATCACTGTCAAATCTCTCTGTGGCAGTTCAGATATCACCCCTTCCACCTGTCCACCTGTATGATTTAGACTGGATTTATTCTACGAGACTAAGATAAGCAGAACAGAAGACATGATGTCCCACGCCAGTGCAAAATGAGAGGCATCTGGGTGAAGAGTAGATTTCCAACTGGGACATTGTAACACAGGCACACATACCTTTCCATTGAGCCTTTAGCAGTGGGAGGAATTAAAGAAAAAGGGGTACTTTCTTTCAGAGGGATAAAGCAGGCAGCAGAGGGAAATAATGTCTTCATACACCCCTGCAAGATTTATTTGAATGTATCTTTAGGACAACACTGAACATTATAGCACCAAACTTTTATGTATCTTATAAGTGGTAAATATAAACCTTTGAATTAAGCTGGATGAAGTGTAATACACAATAGGAATTGGTGATATAAAAAGACAATCTACTGAGAAAGGTGCCATCTAAGCCAGTGGTCTACACTGAACAAGGTAGTCTTATTTTAGCTCTGCCCTCTCAGACTAATTCTCTGAACACCCAGGAAGTACTTTACTTTGCCGAGGGATTCACATTTCTGAAGCTTTTGACTAGACTTAATCTCCTACACCAGCTTTTTTTTGCATGAAATACAGATGGAGAATGAAGTGATAGCCCTATACCACCTAGAATGCAGTGACTGAGTTTCCTGTGAATGCACATCAGTCCTCTCTCTAATCAGCAGGCTACTCTTTACTGAACGAGACAGAAAAAGGAGCATTTTTATCTGTTTCTTTTTTTAGTATTGCTCCAATGGACATAAATTAATGAACTATTAATTGGCCTAGTAAAAATATGCAAGTTCTGGTTACCGCACACATGTGGGAGAGATTCTCCTTTCATCCTCTGAAGGATGTTGACATATTAAGCAGTCAATAACTTAGTAGCATTACCTAAATTTGACAGCATTTATTATGATTTGTACAGAGAATATAGGATTCCAATCAAGTGTGCTCAGTTTTGGTTATTTAGTTTGATGGTGAAGAGCACCTAGCACTTTACAGGACCAAGTTTCTATGTGGTAGTGGTATTTAACTATCGACTGCTACTCATCTGGTTTCTAAGAAAACTCTGAAAAGAAAGTGGAGCAACTGCATCCATTTGAAGATGTCAGGCCTGTGAACAATGGGAAAAAAACAGTCACTAGTTTTTCCGGGGTTTGGAGAAGACTAGTAAAAACAAAGAAGAAAAAAAGTCTTTTCTTTCTCCCATTCCTTCCCTCCTTCCACCTTTCCGTTTCTCTGACAGAGTCACCAGTCTGACCTAGGACATATTTTTGCCTTAGCAGCCCTCTGAAAAATTAAATGCATTCGGTAAGATGTAAAGCTCTCCTGCTTTATATTTGTTACATGTGCAGAAAAACAAACAAACAAAATTTTTTTTTTTTTTCATTCACAGAGGAATGTTCTCCCATCAGTTTCCTATCCATCACTAGTCCACAGGTCCACTGAATTCAATGGAAGTCACGCTTTTCATTTAGATGGAGCTAGGATTAATGCCATGGATCAAAACTCGCCAGTTTCAGTGCAAGTCCTTCCACTGATTTCAGGAAGGATTTCAAAAGCCCAAGGTCCCTTTGAGCACATATAAACTCACATGGATAAGATAAATAAGCATGTGAACAGCTGAAAGATTGAAATGTTCCAAAGGTTTGTCCAAGTGGTTGGTCAAATAATTAGCTGCAGCTCTATGCAAAAGTCATGTTGAGCCAAAGCTTTGAGCTTTGATTTGATAGACCTTTCATTTTCTGAAATCTAACAAGCTTCATTCAGGGTTTGAATATGCAAAAACAAACACAGGATTATAAATACAAGAAGAAATATTGAAGAAAATTGAGAATATTTTCACTCCTACAAGTGAAATTTAAGTTAAAGAATTTTGATAATTGCATTTTTTTATTAACCCTTAATGATAATTTATTTATGTAGTTCTTCAGAAGCTGCTTGGTTTCACTTATTTTCCTTTGTTTTGTTCAAAACCAGATTTTTTGCCTTTTAAAGATTCATATTGAACTATGCAGCTACAAATTACATGATTATGTTAACAGATTTACAATTAAAATTACTCTACTCTTCTGTTATTCCCAAATTGTATGAACAGAAAGCTCATGTTACAAGCAAATTTAATTAACTGTGTTTAATCTTGTTTCCTTTTTTCTTTTTTTATTCTTTTTTTTTTTTTTCTTCAGAGTTAAGGACTGGATTTTCTTTGAAACAGGCTAAACTGGCATCAGTGTTTTTTTAACTATATGGAATGTCCTATGATTCTTAGCATTGAAAAGAGGGCTATGTGGTCCTGTCAGAAAAAAAAAAAAAAAAAAAAAAAAAAAAAA